CTATTATGACAAATTCTTGTATGTTGAGCGCTACTTTCGTTAAATGTTTCACCTCAAGCATACTCTTAATTAATTGTCAAAACATTACTAAACACATTTTTAACCTTTCGAATGAATTAAAAATTTATTGGTTTCTGAGGCATAATGTGCTTTTAAATGTGAAATTGTTTGTGTATTATTGAGCTGGCTGGGACATTAAAATGTATTGTATCATTTTTTACGATTTGGTTGTAGAGAAAGCAAATTGTGGATAAACATGTTCTTGCAAGTAGAGCAAAGCATTAAACGTTAACCATTTACAGAAAATTATACCATGTTACTTGTTATATACTATATATTTCTAAAGTTTACAGGAAAGTAAGAGTTGATTTGTTCATGCCACAACAGGGATGCAAAGTATTCAATGACAGTTTTGGAAAAATTATAGTCAATGGTAAGTACTGAAAAATTTGAAAAGTCTTAAATGAACTCCACTGAGGTCCAAAATACTTAAAATATAAAATTTAATATTCTTACATCGATCAGCTGTGGCACTCAAAACAGAAAGATATGCAAAATATCAATTAAAAATATACTAACTAGTACTCGGAAATAAATTGAAAATCGTATTTTTGTACAATTCTTAGCCCAATTTGATTAAGAAGTATTGTAACACTGAAATATTGGTCATTTCACAATTAAAATAATCCTTCTGGAAAAATGAAGTGAGGGAATGATCTGAAAATTTCCACACACGTTATTTGTCTAGATCTACATCAAATAGATCATATCATTTATCTTGAAAAACTGTTTCAAGTCCCATCTTGTCAGAAAACCTCAGTGAAGTCCCTTGATCAGTTATAATGCTGCTAACGGATGGTGATATCTGGTGGCTTTCTAGGACATACCGGTTTCTAGGACATACCGGTCTATGTCAGTAAACAAGGGATTCTATATATCAAATTAAAGGTTAGGAACTGTAGTTTATAAAATTGCATGTTGCAACCGGTGTCAACATTTTCATCCCAGATCGCCTCCAAGATGGTCGCCATATTTTAAGATAATAAATATATAGAGAAGTTGCACTCAAATTAAATGATTTGAATTGTTTGATATTCCAAGAAAACCTTCAACATCATACTTAAAGATACCAGGAGACAATTAAAATATGATGATTTTGTTGGAAAAAAAACTTTTTTAACTTGTTTTCCTGAAAAAAGACTGTGTTTGAAATTGTCATTGATATTGTCATATGTATTATCTTTTTATATAAAATGTATTTTCCACACATTACAACATATAATTGATTAAAAGTATTAAAATAATTAAGATAATATCATTTGCTTGAATATTTTGCATTACTATGTTGTTATTTTTATAACTAATTTCCCCAGAAACTATAAAAGCTTTTCACCTCAAACTTGGTATACATGACTATTGTCATGAAACAACACCATTTTTAAAGAGCAGATAATCCTAAAATTATTTTTGCAAAATAACACCTCTTTTTCATCTTAGATTTTAAGACCTTAAGTTAATGTTTTTGTTAAGGTCTATTTTCTAAGTAACTATCCATTTTAATTCACATCAAACTTGATGTACATATCAAAATACCATTTCAAAAAGACAGATAATCCAACAATTTGCAAAATTATCCCCCTTTTTAGCTCACCTGTCACATAGTGACTCTCCTCATAAATTGCTAAGCCAATTTCATCCAAACTTCACAGGAATGTTCCTTTGGTGGTCACATTTGAAAATTGTTCAAAGAATTTAATTCCATACATAACTCTGGTTGCCATGGCAACCGAAATATTTCCTAATATGAATATAGTAAATTTTTTAAATATCTTATTTTATCTTTATATCTTTATTAACAGTTTAAAATATTACTTGTTCCTTGTCATTTTTATATTCAGGTAAGCGATTTCAGGGCCATTATGGCCCTGTTGTTACTTATTTTCTTTCGCTTCTGTCAATAGACTTACTACGGAATGAAGAATTTGGGTTTTTCCCAGTTAATTCCGGGGGTACAAACAAATTCGATAGTTACAGCTTCAAAAATGCGCGCAACAGATGACTTTTCTGTTGTAACCGATGTTGTGCTGTAAAGTTATAACGGTTTGTTTATATCAGGGTATAAGATTGGAAAAACCCACATTTGCCGAGTTCAATCTACATGTGTATTTCTCAAAAACTTTCCATTAGTTAATGACTTTTAACTTGGAATACATTTTAGTTTTTAAATTGAAATGCATTTCTAAAGGCCAGGTTACTTTTTGGGTATTTTTTTCAGAGTTTTCAGAGTTATGCTCCCTTCTGACTTTGAATTTCTTGGTTAACTTTTTTTCTTATCAAAGTATCAAAAGTATGCAAGGCACAAAATGACATGTACGATGAAAGAGACCTATGTGTAAACATATATATAGTGTTTATAAAATTTTATTATTTTGCATTTAACGTGCAGAAAATATATACTTTTTAGATAGAGAAAAAAAACACACTTGTAAATGAGGTAAAGGGGACATGAATCCAACTGTATCAACTGATTCCGCTAGTGAGCAATACATATAGATTTTGTTCACATACATGTAAACTTTGTCCGGTGCCAAGTAGGGATATTTGGCTCAGAAAGTGAGAGATTGTATCTCTTAAGAGGGAAATTTATCTACAAAGTGTTATTTAAGGGGTGGAATTTATTCATCAATACAGATAAAAAGAGTGTATAAATTTCAAAAAAAAACTTAGTAATTTTGATATACATGTATATGTATCAAACCACATACATACTGTAGTGTAATTAATTAACTAACACAAGCAATTGTAGAAATAATATTTGGACAAAAAATTTATATAGAGTCTCTGGTGTTAAATTGCGGAAGTATAAAAGTTTGATTGATAATCCACCAAGTATCTCTCTAACTCCATAGTTGAAGGTTGCGCCATGACTTTATCATATTTAGTATGGATATTTTATCATAACTAGCGAACTAATGTTTAATATGTATCATTGATGAAAATACTTAAGTTGTCGACAGCTTATTCCAAAGCAGTGAAGAAGATGTAGATACAATACATTATATGTCTCTTAGAAACATCATTAGCAGTGCAGACAAATTCTTGTCTGATATCAACACAGTTCTTAACTTATCAGTATGTATCAAATAAAAAATAAAATAATATAAACATCTCTTAAAATACATTCATGTACTGTATATTCATATCGATAATTTTATTTTAAAATAATGAAACATGCCACAGGGGTTGACATATCAATGTAAACAATGACCACTTCTTGTTCATTAAAACTTCCATCTTGCAGTTTCATACACTACAGTTCCTAATATCCTCTCTTCTTAGCAACTTAATCTTCACTATTTTATAGCAGATCTTAGAGCATGGATTACCAATGGTAATCTAATTTCTAAAAATGTAAAAGTTAGTAGATGTTACTGTTTTACACATCATTTATTACAATAGCATACTTTATCAGTGGTCCTATGTCAGGAATTGTCATTAATTAGTAGATTTAAGTGCTATATGATTTTTTAATAAGCAATGTCCCATTGCAATTTACTATGTATATTTTGAATACATGTTTAACTGTAATTGTGGATGGAATACACAGTGTTTTTATAGATATGTATACTGTAATAAAGTTCTCAATAATTTTGAATGACTGTTTTAATGTTTTTAACTAGGATTTTTATGTTACATAATGATTGACTCCTATAAATCTGTGATAGATTTGCCATGCTTTTATTGCTGTTTTTACTATATGTTTTGTACTATGTAAATATACATGTATGAGACATAAATAAACAAATAAACAGTTTAATTTGATATATAGAAACCATTGTTTACTACCATAGACCGGTTAGTTTCACTAAGCCAGGTCAAGTTTGCAGCATTATTATCCAAGTATGATCATCAAAGTTATTGAATTTGAATGTGAAGTAGTGTTTGCATTTTCATGATTTGTTTAAACGTAATATACATGTATATGTATAATTGACTTTGATTAAATATAATATAAACTGGGTAAGGGTATTTCCAAACTTTTAAGGGGAAACATGTATATTGAGTTTGCAGGCGTGTTTTACCTACATAAATATATTGTTCTTGTAAATATACATGTAAAACACAATGAACAAAACTGAAATTTTAAATACTCCCGAAGTCTATATTTCCACACATGGAGTGTCAAACGAACACATTGTGGTGTATTTCTGAACATTTTTTTTTCAAAAATGTTGTTTATCATTCAACTTACTTTTAACTCATTGTATTATCTGTATAAATAAAAAAGAGGTCATGAGTTTGATGCTTTGATTTAGCAGGTAAACTTAGATGTTGAATAATCTGCCCTAGTTTTAATGCTAAATCATTACGTTCTTTAAACTCAGTATTCTTTTATTTCTGAAACATACAATATGTTCTCATTACTACCTTGATTACAGTTAAAACGAATCATGTTAACTTATAAGTAGCTATGCTAATGACATATTAGTAATAAAACATTGCTGTGTCCCATGCGGTGCCCCAATGTTTTGTTCCGTTCCGTTCCGCAACTTATGTATCAATAGGCGTTGTTTAAAACATTTGGCAAGAATTAAAAATTGATGTCCCGTTAAGAATTGTATCACTTATCATTACTGTTTAAAGATAATGATTCTTTTACAGAATATTTTACTTTTTTACATACTAAAAAAAGAAAGAAAAAAGGAAAAAAGAAAACAAAATATGCAAAAAGTAACAAAATTAAAGTTGTCACATTTGGCCGCGTTCTATAGAACTAATTCTGTTCGAGGACGTATTTTATTCAAGTGCACGGTATACTTTATTTTATTCAAGTGCACGGTATACTTGTAGTGCGGAAAGATTTGTATACATTTCTCATATATTGACAGGGTTTCTATTGATCATAAAATGATCAATATATTCGATCTATTTGTACAAATGTATATACTAAATGCAGAAATGTTTTATCTATTGAAGATCATACAGGTAAACCTATGACCTCATGTATACAAAAACATGACACTGAAATTTACACTTTGAAGTAATTTACACTATCAACTAAAACATAATTGTGTTGTAATTGTAAATAATATAAAACTTGTTCAATAAGCGGTTAATTTCTTGTGTCACAAGTTCATAGTGTTTTATATGGATACTTATTTTAACTCGTAAGTTTTTTTTTTATTTTTTAGTAGATCTTCTATTTTAAAATTAAAACTTAACATTTAATGATTTATCACACAGAAACTTTTTCACAGGTAAAAAGTTATTAAGATTAAGTCTTTTTTTTTTTTTTTTTTTGACAATTTCAAATATTTCCGTGGGTTTCGATTCGGATTTTTAACTTTATTTCACCCCATTTTTAATTCAATAAGTACCTAAAGAACGCTACATTTGTTCACAAAATTGATGGAAAAATCTCGCTGAACTCGCAATATATAGGGTATAAAAGTCAATATCTTATATTTAATAATTATACATGTAGGGTGTCCCATACGATACCGGAACTTCACGTGCATAGATGTCGTCTGCTGTTAATAACATTAAATAACAGCTATAAACTTGAACATCAAATTACAAATGATGATAAGAGAAAAAAACAACAAAGAAACAATTAAAACGCGTGAAAAACGTGACATTTCATTTTACTCGTGAAACAGTAACTTTTCATTTTATTCGTGAAACAGTACCTTTTCATTTTACTCGTGAAACAGTACCTTTTCATTTTATTCGTGAAACAGTACCTTTTCATTTTACTCGTGAAACAGTACCTTTTCATTTTATTCGTGAAACATTCCCTTTTCATTTTATTTGTGAAACGGTACCTTTTCATTTTACTCGTGAAACAGTACCTTTTCATTTTATTCGTGAAACAGTACCTTTTTATTTTATTTGTGAAACAGTACCTTTTCATTTTACTCGTGAAACAGTACCTTTTCATTTTATTCGCGAAACAGTACCTTTTCATTTTATTCGTGAAACAGTACCTTTTCATTTTACTCGTGAAACAGTACCTTTTCATTTTATTCGTGAAACAGTACCTTTTCATTTTTATTTGTGAAACAGTACCTGTTCATTTTACTCGTGAAACAGTACCTTTTCATTTTATTCGTGAAACAGTACCTTTTCATTTTATTCGTGAAACAGTACCTTTTCATTTTACTCGTGAAACAGTACCTTTTCATTTTATTCGTGAAACAGTACCTTTTCATTTTATTCGTGAAACAGTACCTTTTCATTTTACTCGTGAAACAGTACCTTTTCATTTTATTCGTGAAACAGTACCTTTTCATTTTATTCGTGAAACAGTACCTTTTCATTTTACTAGTGAAACAGTACCTTTTCATTTTATTTGTGAAGCAGTACCTTCCATTTTCTCATTTAGCAAAATTAGACACTGTCTGAACGCACATATAATATGCCCATCTTTGGGTTAAATACTTTTATTGCAGAAATTTTTTGAAATTTTAAAATTCTAATTGAATTTTTCAAACTTGAAAGAGAGAGAGAAAAAGAACAAACTTTGTTATTACTTGTCAAGTTATTTTGACCCTTTCTTTCTTTCTTTCTTTCTTTCTTTCTTTCTTTCTTTCTTTCTTTCTTTCTTTCTTTCTTTCTTTCTTTCTTTCTTTCTAATGATATTTGTATTTACCTATATATAGAGTTTAAAACTTAACATACCTTCTTTGTATATACTCAAAAGATGTTTATTTTGCATTTAAAAAGACTGTAAAGCAATAACCAGCATTTTCAAATATCAACTTTGAGTATTATATATCTTTAACGAATGGGGGTATTAATGATTTTATAGTTATTTAATCAATAAGTTTTATCAATTACATGTAATTGTTTAGACTAGAGCGACTATAAGTGGAAGCAATTTTTGTTTTCAATTTTCTTTAACCTTTCAAAAAGGTTTGATTTAACTTAATGATGGAAATCGTTGGTTTTGTTTGCATGCACCATAACTCATTATTTACTTGACATTGCATAAATGACATATTGTTTATTCGACAATCACACTTTTTTCAGACAACTCTGTTCTTGAGATGTTATTCTAAATGCAACGGCCGAGATCCATCCAGTCAACACGACCGTTCACGCCTCGGAACTCAAAAGGTATATACAATGTATAGAGGTGAGGTAACAAGACTGAAAACAGTTAACAAATAAAAATCCCCCGGTAAATGCACACATGACCTCGTGTTCAAAAAGCAAATTATCCTGTTTTTATTCCCCAGTGCTTTATGAAACTAAAATTAATCTTATTAAAATAAAATAAAATGTTAAATAAACAAAACCAAAAACATGGTGACCATTTTTGGGATAACAATACAAAATATATGCATATTCGGCTCAAAATAAGGATCAATATCAATTTTTGGATCAACTCTGAAAAGCCCATATCTTGTAAAGTAAAAAAAAAAATCTAGAATTTCATGAACATGTTATTTCAAGCCCAATTTTATTAAGTTAATAATTGAATATTAAATCTATGATGATAAACAATGGCGATTTTTTAGTATTTAATTGGTTCCTAAAGTGGATCTTGATTCTAGAATCATAGTGAACACGGGACAAGGGGCTATAGATTACATACGCCCAATAAGACCATGTTATAGATATAAGATCATGGTATAAATATAAGACCAGTGTATAAATATAAGACCATGATTTCAATAAATCATTCACGAGAACCAATAAATTCATTGATTTATGATAGTTCTTTTATTTGTTAAATAATTTGTAACGCAAGATATTAAAAAAACGTTAGCATACTAATTAAGGTAATAGATACCGAATATGCACTAATGCTTCATTAACCATGTCTTATTACTTTTCATTCAAGATCGTACCGGTACGGCACGGAGCTACAATGTTGTAGCACTGGATACAGGATTTTATCCTCAACCTTTTAGTAATCCTAATCACGAGACGCTTATGAAACAATGGGCTTTACAAGGATATCAATGGTTCTCTTGCAGTGATGGCCAGATGCCAAGTAGAGCTGTTCAGAGAGGATATTCACGTGCTGGGGAACCACTGTATATTGCCCGGGCTATGTCACCAGGAAATACCCATTGTCTAGGTTATTTCATATAGAATTAATGATTTTTTTAAATCACTAAACTTATATCGCCATTGTCTTTATTCAAATAAAAATCTACTGAGATTGTCTGATTTTCCAGTAATTGTTTTTCCCATCCTTTCATTTAAATTAACGTACTTACTCTCTGATTAATATTTTTTTGCAGAACCATGATGACGTGCAACTATTGAAGCGCTTCAACTTCCGGTTTTATGTTCTTTTTTATTTTCAGGAATATTTCATCCATCTTCAGGACAATGTTATTTCTGCTGGAGAGGACGAGAATACCGGTCAAGTACATACGACATTTTATGTCAAATGCCGAAGTTAAAAAACAGAGCCACAGCAATAACAACACCAGTAACAAGTGAAACTGCAACATTTGGTGATACCATGAAGGTTATGACACTACGTAGTCCTTTAAAATTTTCAAACTATAATCGAAAATGAAACATGACCTAATTTGAGGCGTGTGATGCAAAGTCAATTTACTATGTCATTTTGTGATAGATCATATGTTTAACTTTCAGTCGGTATATTGCCATATAACATAATGTTTAAATATAGATTATTTTTACACAAAAATTAACCTCCGGTGAATTAATGTTTGTTAGTCTGTATTATTGTTTCTCCGTTATTTCTGCATGTGAGTACCATTTAGTGATAATTACACGGGTGTATTTTGGCATGAACTTATAGCAGACTAAACTGTAGCATCATCGTTTAAATACAAAGAGAGCTTCGGCTTCCTTTCAAAATTGTCACAAATAATTGTTCCATGTCATGAATCAAGGTTGTTTGGTGACATTTTCCATTACCCGTATACGGTTATTTACTCTATAGCGATTTCCGGGCATGCCGCCGAATTGTAGTGTCAATTGAAACGCCGCCACTACTACAGTTCAAAGGAAACCTTTTTTTCTTCGATTTTCGATATTTGATGCAGGGCTTACAAAAATATATAATATGACAACAACACTTAAATTGGGCGACATGCTCTAGCTCAGACGTTGTTAAAGGAACAATTCATCGTATACTTCTAAAAGAGATAGCTCTGTTGTTAACCACAATATGATATTCCCCAAAAATATTGCGATTTCAGTTTTGATTTCTCAAAGCATACCTCTTTTAGACAAGTATGATGGATATGCCACTTTCTTTTAAAACTATTTTTTTTGGAAATTTCAGTGGATATAATGCATGGTTGTCTGTGAAGACATGCTACAAACATATATTGTCTGCATAATGTTTCTAGAAAAGTATAAAATTAAATAGACAGCAAGTTTTTCTATTGCTTTCACTTTCTGGAAAAAGAAACACATGAAGTAAAAATACACTCAAACTACGAATCGATCAACTCACACCTCATTAAGAAAGGTGTACTGCTATTTTCATTATTGTTATTTCAACTTCGACAAATATTTTGAATGTCGGTATTTAGAATTCCCGTTTATAGAATTTTTAACTGTTATCACATATTCTAAAGATCTAACATGGATGTCATCTTTTGAATGAATTGCACAATCATATGTAACGCTTCAACGCTAAGGAGTATAGACCTTTTTACAATACATTTCTTCCATAGCAACCAATGTTGCATTTCGCGCATGCGCATTCTGCCTAGGGCAAAAGCGCAATAAAATTGACAACAGTGTATGATACTTTAAAGCTTTAATAGTCGTGATTCCATGTTTTATCAACCAGAAAACAGTAATTTTGGGATGACTTAAAACGGTAAGTACTTAAAACGTCAATTGATATTTATAACAGATATAATAAATATGCAGGACTAATAATCCAATGGTCAAAAGGCGCATACAACAACAACAACAACGTCTGTTTAAGGTATCATAAGACGACTTTTACATCCGTAATTTAAATTTAAACAGCAGGGTGTTAAAGATTAAATTTTATTACCCCTGTATTACATAATATTACAGAATGTGTATTGTACACTTCCTTTGGATTGGCCAGGCGGTAAGTGTCAAACACGCGACCGTGGTTGTTTGTTTCCAGCTAGATATTGTATAAATATCATTCAACCGGGACGTTTTAGAACCATGACATAGTTATCACGTACAATTATGAAAATCGTAATTTAAGTAACTTTTATATATACCGATTTCATCAATGTTTATTGATTTGTGAAGTGACAATTAGTGTGACTTGCATTAAAAAATATTAACATGTGTTACGAGGAACCGGATAAAATGAGTGTTATTTCACTTTCCTTAAAGATTTTGAAAAAAAAATTAACTATTTAAAATATATTTATGTGACTTAAAAATTATCTGTTTTGCATCACAGTCAAATAAAGGATAAAATCAGGTAAACTGAACACTAAAAATGCATTATCAACGGGCCTGTTCTAACTATTTTCAGAATGCTAATTAACCTCGATTTTCATAAGTTATAAAATTTCTTTTATCTTTTTTATGAACTATTTCAACAACAATTTAGTTGACTCCCTTTTGAATAAAAAATATAATTCCACATTTTCTTAAAAAACATCTCAATGTCAGGTCCTTGACCGTAAGCGGGCCCACCGTAAGGGGGAATTCTTAAACAATTTCCTTTTCAAAGCTATAAAGGAATCTTTTTAATTTTCGTTTAAAGCTATTTTCTACCTTTCACCTTAAACTAACTCGGAATTGTCTATATGAACTTCTTCTATATTTCTATGTGAGACTATTTTTTTTTTGCCCTACGCAGATTGCGCATGTGCGGGGAAATACTACCTCCGGTCGATTTTTCATAGCAACGGACCGCATCGTAAAAAGGTCTATATGGCTGTAATACTGTATTTGTCTAAAAAGTTAAATCGTCCACCATATTTACAACACATTTTTTCAATGAAAATAATGCTATTTTTCGAAACACAAATGTAAAGCGCGTGGATTGTTCGTTTATGTGTTTACAAGTTCCAGATATGACAGGCACCCATGAAAACCTTTTTTTTTCAAGAAAGTGGGTTGTTATAACTGTCTACGGATATAAATAGAATGATGCGAACGAATATGTATGAACAATTTCTTTAAATCTGGTGAAAGTAAAATTGTCATCGGAATAATAACAGCAATTATACCGACCACACCCATACACTTAACCGACGCTCTCCTGTCGTCTGCACTTGTCAACTTCCGCATATGAGCTCCAGTTGATTTAAAGTTAACTGTTAGATTTTTCACGAACTCCTTGGCGATGACTTTCGCTTGCTCCGTGGTAATGTTATTGTGTTCTATTGACGACAGTGTTGTAACTGTGTAAGTTGAATGAATCGTTTCCGTGTAAGTAAATACACTCGTTGAATACATAGTTTGTGTAACATTTGAAAACACCGTGTTTGTTATGGTTCGAGTGACATTAAATTGTTCTGTAACTAAAGACGTTATTATACTTGTCGCTGTTAAATAAATAGAAGAAATACTTGAATATATGACTATGGACGGGCAAAGAGTTGAAGAAGTTGGTACTACAGCCGTGGAAGAAGATGGGACTAATGTACTGCTTGGTGTTGGAACGATGCTCGGAGAATAGTCTGAAAGAAGTAAAATAGTGAAGTCAAATCGTTAATGAAAAATAAGATGGAAAGAAATGTGGGATAATAATGTAAACTCATCAAAATGACTGCATGTGTCCTCATCATCATTAGTTCATTTCTTCAGAGTTTGCGGTTTTATATCGTAACCAGACTGACACAAAGTCCTTTTGTATATAAAGCGTAATGTATCAATTCAATTCAACACTTTTTATTTTAAACTACATTGCTTGAAAAAAATGAGGTGTAAAATTTCTAATGTCACTCGGCGATAGGCATTCTATCAAATGTCCACTAGATAAAGCAAACTCCCCGCGGCGATAATTCCCCCTGATCAGTACAGGGATAATTTAAGTAGAACTATTTGCAAATGCGTATGCGGACGGTTTCCGGCTGGTTGCCTGGATAACTACAAAGTAGACTGAACGATCTCTATAGTCTAGCGCAATAAAACATTTTAAAGCATAAGATATCAATCAATCCGCGTGCACTATGAATTAAGTCTGTCCTCCATATAAGATTGTATCATTCAGCTAACAATATTGTTATGAACATTGAAACTCCGTCAGTATTAATTGGAACCGAAATTGCCGGAATGTCTATTATCAGGTTAAAATGTGCGGGAAATTGGCTGAATTTCTGTTATCACGTTAAAAGATGCAGGAAATTTGCGGAATATCTATTATCAGGTTACAATGTGCAGGAAATCGACGGAATATCTATTATAAGGATTAAATGCGCGGGAATTGGCGAAATATCTATTATCGGGGAATTGGCTGAATTTCTATTATCACGTTAAAATATGCAGGAAATCGGCGGAATATCTATTAACAGGGTTAAATGCACGGAAAATTTGCGGTATATCTATTATCAGGTTAAAATATATATATATATATCTGATATCTGGTTAAAATGTGCGGGAAATTGGCGGAATATGTGTTATCAAGTGATCTTTGTAACAAAATACGTATTACCTGAATCAGAGCAGTTATGTCCAGGTATATGACTGTTGTCATGTGCAACGACCGGGATGGTCTCGTTTAATGTCACTTAAAAAAAAAAGAAAATGGGTGCTATGTACTTTTAAAGATACTGAATTAGAACTCATTTGCCTGAAATTTCATATATAATTTGAGCCGCGTCACGACAAAACCAACATAGTAAAAGTGTTGGTAAGCGAAAAGGTCGCAAACGCACTATGTTGGTTTTGTCGTGACGCGGCTCATTTAGTTTTAAGTCAAATATTTAACTAGGCATCAAGACACACCCAGATGTAACGTTTTAATATCATTTTAAGGTATTAAAAGCAAAAAAGCTAGAAAATGTATACTCTTCCAGCTTGTAAGTAACAAATACGTTTTAAGTCACGGTAGATAAAAGAATATTCGAAAAAAAGGTAAATACAATGAAAAGAATATATAACGTTTCAATAGAAATGGTTAGGAAACTACCCGCCTATATGACTGAAATACTGTTGGAAAAGGCGTAAAATGAAACAAACAAACAAACAAACAAATCAATAGAAATATTTTTCAAATGTAAATAACAGAAAAGATTATCACCATTGTAACAAAATTTGCTGAACATCTGAAAATTTACGAGCCCAGGATCTATTGAGGCCAACATAATACATGTATCTGGGAACATCTCGACGGTGGCCCAACAATCAACGTTACCAGAACATTCTGACTTACAGTCCGAGCTATTAGTGCTCATTGACAGAAACTGACTATCCAGTCGAGAAATGTATGAACATGGAACGTCTGTAAAATAGAACACATATATACAATTATTAAGAACTTAAAACTTATTTGCTGCTTCTCATTATTCAATTAAGTCTAGAAAATATCCATAATAGCCATTAAAGGTTCGAGGGCCATTTATTTTCTGGTGGCTTGAATTCCTTCTAGGATTGCAATGAACTTGTGTCTCGTGGAGTTTACTTATTTTCTAGGAGTAGTGATTGTGAAACATGAAACGTCGGTGATATATGGTTAAATGATGCTCAAAAATTCAATTTCAAAATGATCATTGATAATGTTTATTATTTTCATAGATGATAGTAG